GTTACAATTCATGATTGCCCCATGCTGTAATGTATACTTTTTTTCAGCTCGCTTATGCTACACAGTTTGTTGATTCACTTTATCTTCAAATCTCTTTGTATCTATATGAATTTTAGATATTTTTCTCCTTTAAATTAAGATTTTTTTTTTATGCATTTATTTTTAGGGGCATGTACATACATACCACATAATTCTTATGTATATTTTGCTTTTGATAAATTTAACTTTTTTTCGGTCTTTTTGAGCCATTTTGTTTGAGTTATTGTTGTCAAATTGTTTTTAGTGTATGTTATTGGAAAAAGTATTACATCTTGATTAGGTGCGGATGGTGTTATTGGTATTATTGTGGTGATTTTGGTAAAATAACATCGCAATACTACCAATAACGCCTAAATACTACCATCTGCACATGAAATTACATCAGGGCTTCTGATGTAATATTTTCTCATGTTATTGACTTCACCTATTTTGTTAGACTTGCATTGTTCTAATTTCTAAATAAATAAATAGTTTTATGAATTTCAGTTTGATTATTTTGTTTGACATAAATTAATTGAATGTAGCACACTTAACCTTGATATAATGGTTGAGAGCTTAATTTCTCGGAGTTTGAACTTTTGGGCTCAATTTTTTTGAAAAAATAAAAAATTGAATGCATCTTTTTCTTACTAGCTTTTACTATTTGCCGATTTTCAATACTGACATAATTCAGAAACCGCTCTATTTGGACATTCCAAACGCATAAACATTCATATTTTCATATTTACATGCATCAATCTGAATCTTTACATATATCACCATCACTATCTTTTTTTTTAAATCAAATGCATCTTTTTTCATGTATAGATTTGTGATATCATAGTGTTATAAGTATAAATATCAAACTTCTGGGTGTTAAAAGTGTAAATACAAAAGAATGGTGTGGTATATTTGTAAATTATCCTTTTTATGTTTTGAGTTTGTAATTAAATTAAAAATTAATGATTAGAGTATTCGTTTGGTCTCGTAATTAAGATAAAAATATTTTTTAATCAAATTTCATAGGAAAATTTTATTTCATCGAGAAAATAAGTATAAAGATAATGCGATTGATAGTTCATTCAACTCCTTACAACTCGCGCAATAAAAGAAAATCTTATGAACTGTTAATTAATAGATATGACTCATGCAAAGAAATTAAAAAACACTATCACGTCGAATAAAGGGTAAGTCCAAGCAGTTACCTTTGATGAGAATATATAAGTCGTGGAATATTGACAAAAAAAATGAAGTCTTGCTTCTCCAATCCTTTTTTTGCATCCCAATTTGCACATTGATTTCCTTCACGATGAGTAAATGACCAATTTATCTAAACAGTTTTGAGAAAATAATAATAATAATAAATCATTTGAATAATAATAATCAAATGATACGATTTTTTCTTGGTAGAATAATTACATAATTTTCAATAATACATTTCAATCTCAATTAAACTCCAACCGCATCTAACAGTTAAATCTAAGGCAATAATAACAGCTTCTGTTTCAGCACAAATAGGAGCATCAACCATAACAGGAGTACAAAACCAAAATAAACAATTCCTAGTATAATTACGACAAACTCATCTAATACTAGCATAAGAAGTATTTCAACTACCATCAATATTGATTTTTAAAATATCTCAAAGGTTTCTTAAAAAAACAAACTAGTAGTGGGGTTGCAATAAGAGGGTATGGAAAAATCATATCTGTCAAATAAATTCCTCAATTTTATACTCAAAGGTTTCTTAAAAATACCAAAATGTAGCATCATAAAAAAATAATCTTAATGAAAATAAAGCATGAATGTGCAAGAATCAAAATATCATTGTGTTTAGCATTATTTCTAACTAACCAAATATGCCAACAAACAACAATAGGAATAGAGATGAAGGAAAACCTCCATCAAATTGATTCCAAAATTTAAAGAGATCATCAATTGAATAAATGTAGAGCTCATTCATGTGCAAATAACAAAATTTAAAAACATTTATCCAAATATCATTTGTGTAAGAACACTTAATAAAAATATATTCCATATTTTTTTTCACTACGATTACAAAGAAAGCAATGAGAAGTTATTCTTAATCCTTTTAATTTAAGAACAACATCAGTAGGAAGAATACGATGGAAAAACCTCCAAATGAAAAAAAAAAAACTTGAGAAAGTTCAGTAAGAGAATTATAAGCCCAAGTTGAATCAAAACCATTAGAAATAGGTAAAGACTTGGCAAAAGTTTTGGAAATGGAACCACCACTATTACCTTTGACATTGATTTTATCATTATCAATAGAAATAGGACTTTTAGCAATTAAAGAAATGTGATCATGACAGCCAGATTTCTATGTTTTTGAAAGTCACAATTATCACTATCCCAACAATTATCAACAGAAAAATTCACATCAAATGAGCCTAAATTAGAATTTACCGAAGGAGCTTCACTAACCCACCAATCATACCAAAAACTTCAATTGTCTTTACAAACATCCCAACACAAAATCCTTAATTATCTTACCCATTTAAGCATTTCTTTCCAAATGAAAGAATCAGTACGACAATAACTAATAGAAAGAGGATGGTTATAACTCCATACTTAATATTGCAATTTATTTACTAAATGTATGGATATATAATATTTTTATATATCAGTTTTTAAGTTTATATTTTGATGCAACTCAAATATATTTTATAAATAAATATTAAAATTTAGATATTTGATATATAAATACAATAATTATATTAAATATCCCTAAATTCCGCTCTGTATTTATAGCAAGCATTCAATTTCCGGTGCAACTGAAACCTACATATAATTATCCCACACTTTAGGGGGATAATTATAGCAAATGTCACATCTTTGCGCCCCCCAACTTCCTTTGTCGACTTACCTGATTTATCATTTAATATAATTAAATAGTTAGCTTAATTCCTTTTTTTTTTCTTTTTTTTTTTATTGGTAAGTGCAGTTATATATATATATATATATATGACAACTTACCAATACATGAAAAAATATATTTCATTTTTTAAAGTTTTAAATAGTGATATTTTTGGTTGATATAGATAGAGCATTTGGGTGGTATAAATGCAAAAAAGAAAGTGTAAGTGTTAGATATGTAAATACATAAGAATTGGGTTACTTGTATGAAAATTCATGTTGTAAAGTCCATTATATTTAGGCTAGTAGCTATCTTAAGTGGTCATTTTAATATTTTATAGCAATTATTCTATATATTTTGTAGCAGGTGACATTTGGCGTGAAGCAGGTGCACTGTTCTTGGATAAATATAGGATTGAGCTTTTTCATTTTTTAGAAATTTTCTTTATATTTGATTTTTTTTTTTTTTGGGAGCAGCGCCTAATTTATATTAAGCATAAAAAAGGTGTAATAAATATAAAAAACTAATGTTTATGAATTAGATATGTAAATAGATAAATATTGAGTGGATGAATGTAATTTTTTTTTTAGGGCTGGAAGATAACTTTATTTTGTATCAATATATTACATATTTGCCCATCACATAGATTTAAATTTCATTACTAAAATAAGTTTATGACTACAGCAATGCATCCTCTTTATTGAGAAGTAAAGCCCAACTAACCATTTTTGCTAAAAGAACGCCGATATAGATTTAAATTATATATATATATATTAAAAAAGGAATAGCCTGAGGCTATCATACGAGCCTCTGTCATTTTCGATGCGCCGAACAATTTGAGCACCACACCCTGCACAAGGTGGAATTGAACCCCAAACTAGAGAGGACTTACAGAGCAAATGCCCGGCCAGCTGATCTGAGTAGACGATGCACGCCAATATATATATATATATATATATATATATATATATATATCTATATATATATGTGTGTGTGTGTGTGTGTGTGTGTGTGTGTGTGTGTGTGAAAATGGTTAGAGACAATTATACTAACCTCCAGTCACTCCTAATGTGACTAACAATTCGAGTACAACCTCCTTAATGTCAACTGTCAGAGGCAATTCAAATTCATGATCAGAGAGGTCTTATACTGAAGGTTTCAAGGAAGAGGCATATATATATATATATTATTTACACAAAAAATGCAATTTAATGTGCTATAGGTGGAGCAGAGTACCAAAATAACCTCAAATTATTTATAGAAATGTCAAAATAGACCCTAAAGTTTTTAAAACTTAATTATCAATAATCTATCCATCTAGTTTTATTGTCACTGTCCATTTATCTCCTGGCTTCTTCTTTCTAGTTAAGATACAGATTTATACACGCCATCGAACAGTTTTTCCATTCCAATTTTTCTCTCTCCTCTCTCATTCTCTCTCTATCTCTACAACAAAATTTCTCCTTAGTACGTGGTCCTATTAGCCTTGGACACGTAGCGCTTTAACAAGCCGCGCGCGTACTTCAAAGTGTTTAGTTAGATTTCCTCCCCGGGTCCCATCTAGGAGGTTACCTACCATCTTCCCTAACATTGTAGCATTTACATACATACCACCTAAATATTATTTACATCTATATATATATATATATACATATATATATATATATATATATAGACTATAACTTTTTTTAATTAATAACTTTCATCAAAACTATAAGCGGCCCATAGCCATCAAAAAAATTATGTGTCCATGAGATAGATACGAAATAGACGTTGATTGATAGTGCGTGATATTAAAATAATAATTATGATATTATATTGATATTATGGTGGTATTGAGATACAAACTAACTCAATAACACCCGAACATAACGATTCACACGTCTCGAATATCACAATTGGCACGTACACCCCGATTCACTTAGTATTCGCTCATACAAACGAGCGATTATTGCGTGCGGAGGGCGCGCGTAGAGCGATGTCGCGATGTGCGGCTGTGATCGGAGGGCGCTCTACGCGCGCCCTCCGCACCTAATAATTAGACCATAAAAACGGGCTATCTATCTCACTCAACCGCAATAATATTACATCATTCTCCCTCAACCCTCTTCCATCAACTCCCAAACACATCAATAAAAGCCCCAAAAATCCTAATTTTCGCCTTCCCACATCCTCCTCAACAATGAGCTCAGTCTGCAAATCCGCCGTCGGCTGCGTCGTCGACTCCCGCCTTCCCCTCCGCTCTTCTTACGTCAATCTCTACAAATGGGCTCAATCCGACGCCGAATACGTCCGCTCCGTCATCAACACCTCCCCTTTTCCCAATAACAGAGCGACAATGGAGCCAAGCCACCGACTTGTCGACAGCTACTCCTCCAGACAGATGTATCTCAGGAGCTATACCTTTTCCAAGAAGGAGACCATGCCGGAGAAGACGATCAAGTGTTTCGGCAAGGTGAAGGAGAAAGCTGAAGACTTTCCGTTCATATATCATCGGAGGAAGGATAAAGGTGGGAGCTTTAGAAATTTTATTAAATTTAGGGGTTTTAATAAGGGGAAGAAAGGGTGTTCTGTTTTCTGCTCCATTTTCCGTCGGCTGCTTTCTTGTACTATGACTGTTGATGTCGCCGGTGAGGGCGGCCCCTCCGCCGCCGCCGGCGGGGGGTCGCGTTTAGGGGGATAGTCTCTGTTTCGTTGGGGGCTTTATATAATTTTAATTAATTTATGTGATCTGATGATAAGTAATGAGTCTTGTTTGTTTGTTGCGATTACAATATAAATGTGAAAAAAAGCGAACTTTTTGTGAAATATGGAATTTGTTGGCTATGATTTGTTTTTCATAGCAGAAAAAACTGCAGCATTTGCTGAATGTTTTGAGCCACATTTTTGGGCTGCGTGCTAATTAATGCGGAACATCTTCTTCTTCACTCCCCCATTTTTCTTTATATATATTTTCTCTGACCAATGCGGCATATTTTTCTAAGAAATAAACAAATTTATCATAAATTGTTTTCATAAGTAACCATCCAATTGTTATGTATTTACATATGTAAAATTTTACTTTCTATATTTATATTATCCAAATATCACATAAAAAATATCATTATATGTAAATATATATAAACATATAATATATATATATATATATATATATATATATATAGAGAGAGAGAAGAGAGAGAGAGAGAAATTAGGGCGAAGAAAAACATGAATCGACACAAATCCAGAAGAACACAGAGATTTAACGAGGTTCGGCAAAGATGCCTACGTCATCGGGAGCAGAACGGCGAGTTCGTTCACTATTCAGAAAATAGATTACAGAATAGAGGGATACCTCCTGAGGTTACTAACGGATTTATTTATAACCTCAGGAGTAAATCCTAAGTACAATACATAATTATAGCATTACCCCTGTGTTGTACCGCGGGGCTTTGCCCCTGCACCCCCAACCCACGTAACTTCCCGATTTAGACAGATTTTTCCGGTCCGCTCCGCTTCGATCCAACGTCTGTCCCTATATGGCATATGAGTCATATCATAGCATAAATCTTCCATCAGCCAACTTGATCAAGGCGAAAGCCAACTCTCTCTCTATATATATATATATATATATATATATATATATATTCGGTTTCCTCTTAAAATGAACAGGAGATTATCACCTAATTTGAGCTAATCACGGATGAAGTGATCATAATATTGGAAGGAAAGGCTCTTTCCCCGAATTCAATAGTGTGTATATATACATATATTGTACATCTAATAATGAATTTGCATGAATCTCGAGATAATTTAAAGGTTCAGATAAAATGATAGATGATGAAAATATGTCAAAAATTAGTTAAAAGATACCATAAAGACCCGTAACAATTATATTAAAGCCGGAAATTAATAAAAATATAATAATAACATATAAGTCTCCCATTAAAGAAGCAAGCATGTAATTTTAGATTTGATTCATCTTTCTCTTATAAATAGGGAGCCCATGGTATCTAAAAAGGGAGCTCATCTGTCTTGAATTTTATCTGTATGGAGAAAAGTCTCTCCTTTTCAATGCAACTGCTATTTTTAATATATAAAAGGGGTCAAAGAGTCTCGAGTTACCCCGGTTCGCCTCTACTAGTCCACTCTTTGCATTCTAGTTATTTTTCCTTCTCTACATCTATCTTTTTCTGCCTTAAGCTCGCTACCGCTTCAATTCTTAGGCATGCCTCACTAGACAAATTTGATTTCAACATATATACCTTCAACTATATTTACATATAAATAATAATTGATTTTATTTTAAGTCAAAAAAAAAGGGTAAGGGAAAGAATAGGAACAGTGAAGTAATTGAAGAGAAAGAAAAGGGAATACAAAGATATGAACACATTGCATCTTGTAATTTATTCAAACAAAAGAAACTACTCCAATTTTAAGGCTAAATTTACATACATGCCACACATTTCTAACATATTTACATATCTAACACCACTATTAACATATTTATCTTTATAACACTTTGGTTTCATGACCCAATGCTTGAAATTTTGTATTTTAATTTTCTTAAAAAATAATAGTGATATTTCTGGCGTGATCATAAAGATTTAAATGTTATGTTTGTAAATAAAAAAAAAATTGATGACATACATAAAAATTAAAAATTGTTTGGTATGTATGTAAATACCCCAAAAATATGACAAATATTTCTGGGTCATTTTCATAGAGATCTCTTAATTCCTCTGCATTTATATACCGAGAAAAATTTCTGCATCATGACACCTGATGCAAATTTGCATAAGGTGTGGTGTCACGTGGTAACCCGGGCTCAAACCGTGTATGTCAGTGAGCTCAAATTGTCATGCAGCTCCTTGTTATTGGATACCGAAGACCTAAACTTTGGTTTTTATAGCCAAAATTTTTGATATCATATAAAGCTTTGGGGTTAGATATGTAACTGACAAATAATTGAGGGTTATTTATGTAAATATTCCGACATTTTTAGGCAGTCATGAAAGTATGTTTAACGGGGCATGACATTTACAGCAATGATGTGAAATGGCAACTGGTGCACCTACTATTATAATTAGTCAAAAGCTTCTCCTTTTAACAGAAATACTCTTTTTCCTTTTTTTTTTCTTTTTATTTATTTTTACATTTACATACATACCCCATAATTCTTATTTATTTACATATCTAGCATTTGAACGCGTATATATTTCAATATCACATTAAAAATATCAATTTTACTTTTCATGCATAGATTTATAATATCAAGTTGTTATAAATATAAAGTTAGATGTTCGATATGTAAATACATAACAATTGGGTGGTGTGCATGTAACTTTTGCTTTGTTTTGGGCCGGAAAATATTAATGGACCAATAAGCTGTTGCCAAATAAACATTGACTTGGCTCAGAGTGCGAAGCTGTGATCATCGGAGGTTTTTCAGAGGGTATTGGGGGTTATGGGTATGTTACAGAGATGTTAATGTTACAGGGGGTGTAACCTACGTATAATACCCCAATACCCTCTGAATAACGTCTCATTGGCCGTCCTCTTCAAAGGTAATGAAGGCAATTAGTATCACTCATTGGCTGTGATTTTTTTGCAATATTATTCAAAGTAGTTGACAAAGTTAGTTTAAAATGTTGTTATTTTGTAACTTTTTTCTTGGCACAACTAATTTTATTTGTAATTTTATGGTTGTTGCGGTTGAACAATCCATTATTAATTATTAAAAAATATTTTTTTTATTTATTTTATAGAAGAAATTAATGAAAAGGCAATCTAAGTAAGCCAATGAAGGGGTCATTTGACAAAATAGATGATGTGGGTATGTTGCTCATTAATTTATTTGGAAGATTTACATATATATCACTCAATTCTTATGTATTTGCATTTCTAACACCTAAACTTTAATTTGTACATACATGCCATTTTCACTAGGAAAACTATTCTATCAGGACTCCTAACGTAGAGATGTGTTTGGAGTCCACTGATATGCAGACACGTGGCTTCAAGGAAACGCACGCGATTTTCTGTGATCTGGCCCGGTAACATAGGAGAATATTCCTCCCGTGTTATTACGCGTTATTCAGGTGTTATTGTGTTATTATAACACCGTGAATATTCCCAGAATATAATAACACATGAATATCACTACAATAACATCTGAATAATGTGGAATAACACTGAGAGAAAATTCATCTGTGCTAAAGCGATTTTTTTTTTTTGGTCACCTCCACGTGGCGTGACTTCATTGGACTCTAAACGTATCTCTATGTCTGGAGTCTGAATGTAATATTTGTTCTTTTCACAAAGAATTAGAAAATGTTTTTCATCTCAAAAGTATTTTTGAAATGATATGAAAAACTTGGATTGGATAATGTAAAACTTATAGTTTAAAGGTTAGATATGTAAATGCATAAGAATTGGGTGGTATGCATGTAAATGACCCTAATTTATTCTTAGTTCCAATAATTATGTTGGCTTAGAAATTTTTCCTTTTTTTTATTTTTATTTTTAATTTTGGTTGCATTTTGTATAATAAATTATTTTTATATAAGTATTTAAGGTGGTTAATTTAGTGGACAGCTGAATCGTTGGACAAATTCCAGTTTTTAGGAACCTGATGGCTCAGTGTTTAGGATAAAAAAAATAAAAATTAAGTTTTTAATTAATAATATATCTTATAGCTATCTTCTTTGATTCCTAGCATATATTCTTTGTATTTTAAAGATGCATTTTTTAAAGAATTTTTAAATTTGAATTTAAGATCATCTGGCCCCGATTTCAACAACTCTATAGTCAGGTTGTTCGTCTCGACAAGTCAAACCTAATGATGTCAAAATTGGCTCAATCCGGTTGCAATCAAGTCAAGTTCAAGGCATTAGCGTTTAACTCCAACGCTAATGCCGTGAAATACCTTCTTCCCCACGACCGAAACATTTCATTTCTCTTCCCTGTCGCGAGGTCGATTGCCACCGATACTCCTCCATGTTTCCGCCTGTTTTTCAGCGTTTCGGACTTATTTTCATCGCTCATTCTTCATCCAAAGTTAGAAAACTTCATCTACGTCTCCAAGCTTCGATTTTACATAAGTTTTTCATGTTTTTTTTCATTGATTTGCATGGTTGTTAGATTTGGAATTCAGATTACTTTGTTAGCTATGCAATGCATAGGAATTAGATGATTTTAAATAAAATTTAAGCGCTAAGTGCCCACATATTATAAGTTTAGGCGTGTGATACATAAATATAAAAGATTTTTGTGCTTTATAAGGAAATGCCCTAAGAAAAGTTTGATTGATTTAAATACATAAAACTTTGTGCTATTTATCAATGTGTGCAAAGGGCCCAAAAAAAAATTGTGTTAGCCATGTTTAGGTTCGGCTGCATTTAGGCGGTGTTAGTGCTATTTTTGATATGATATTAAGATTAGTGTTATGCGCCTAAATATAAAAGTTTAGGTGTGCGATATGAAAATACAAAAGAATTTGTTGGTATGTTTGTAACTGCCCCCCAAAAAATCAGAGTACTCCATGTCAAAAATTCAGAGGTGTAAATACCAGAGAAAGAGGCATACAAATCAGCAGAACCGGACAAGGGAGGGAGTCAGAGAGACAGCACTCCACATCGGAGGTTCAATCTCCCACACAGAGCACTACCAGTGACTAGTAAGATTATCTCAAAATTTATAAGCTTACAAATTTATGTAATAATGTGACTCTTATATTTATCTAGACGTGTAAATATCAGAGGAAGAGATAGCAAATTAGCTTAACCGCACAATGGAGGAAGCCAGAGAGACCGCACTCCACATTGGAGGTTCAATCTCCCACACAGAGCACTACTAGAGACCAATAAAATTATCTCAAAATTTAAAAGCTTACAAATTTATGTGATAATGTTACTCTTATATTTATTTGATCATGTATACAAGCCGAAGGAGCTTGACCGAGAGGCATTCACTGTAGAGTTGCATGTTCTCACACATTAGTGTGCGGGCACACAGCAGTGGCTATTCAACCACTCTCAATGTATCAATGTAAGTTAAAAATTTAATTTTCTATTTGTGTGGAGCTATTAATATGTCAATTAATGTTGAATTTTTGTTATGCATGAGGAGCACGAGCAGCGACGGGAGAGACAAAGAGAGATGACTAGCCAGGCCTCATCGACCGCCAGGAGCAGTGGTAGCCAGCCTACTATTGCTGGGTTCGATTTTAAGTTGGTGGACTCAGACGGCCAGGATGACGAAGGGGAGAGTGTGGCTTAGTAGCAAAGGGAATAGCATTTGAGGTTGAGCATTCCCGTGTAGTTATGGGTGGCCCCAGCTCGTTGTAGGCTCAGCATGAGGAAGTTGCTAGGTGGGTCATGATGATGGATGAAAAGCTCCGAAAGGTGCGTGAAAGCTAGCAGATGATTGCAGATAGTCTAGCAAGCCTAATAGAGAGTTTTGATGTCAAGGCAATTAGCATGTGAGTGTTTTCGAGGACGATGACAAGGAGGAGGAGCATAATGATGATGATGAGAAATATTAGGACTTTTATTATGTGTTTAATGATGTTCCCTCGACATAACAGTTGATTATATGATTTTTCATTTATGTTTAATCAAACTTTAAATTTTTGTAGTTGGGAACTTTGAAACTTTTTTCTGTTTATCTTTAATTTAATTTAGTATTGTTATTTAGATATGTTGGAGATTTCTTTTATCAGTTCCGATTATAGATAGATATCATATTATATTACTTGATTTTGTTCCATACAGGTATGTGTAAATTTAATCATTTTGCTGTATTTTTTTCTTACAGGCTTGCGTTGGATTAGCGTTGAAATATTCCATAGCAATCAGTTGTTCAATACCTGACGCTGCCAATTCGTCGCATTAGGGTCGAACATGACCAACAACGACCGCCACTAATTAGTGTCAGACAAGACCGACGCTAATTAACATCCACCAAGATCGATGCTAATTAGCGTCAGATTTGTTTGATGCTAATCGTCGTCAACCCAACGCCGATTGTATTTTTGACGAAAATTTTTAGCTACAGAAACTCGAACTCAAATAAAAATCCACTCCAAATGTCAATGCAACATTAATTAACATTTAATTCAATGTTAATCTGATGTTAATCCCGATTAGCATCAGAATCGAGAATTTTCGTGTAGTGTAAGGAATTTACACAATTGAGATAGCGTTAAGATATATATATATATATATATATATATGTCTTAACATATACAACTATTGTGATAAGTCTCATTAAATTTACAAAAGAAACTAATATTTTAAACCAATTATATGACTAGATGATATTATAAATTTAAAATATTTACATACATTCTACCCGATTCTTATATATTTGCATTTCTAACACCCAAAACTTGATATTTGTATTTAAAATTTTGAATGCTATGTATATAAATATGAAAATTTTGATGCTAAATTTCTAAATACAAGCTCTCGGCGGCTTCCAGATGATGGAGATCTGTTAGCTTGTATTTTTTGTAGTTATGTTTTATTTGTAAAATGTATTTATTTTTGAACGTTTTATAAAGGTTTACATGAAGATTATATATTTATTTATTTATGGCCTATGTTTCGCTACTAAGCGGGCTTCTAATCTTAAAATCTTTTTTTTGATTGGTTAATGAGATTTTAGATTGATGCTAAGCCCAATCGTGATTCAAATCCGTGGCATTTTTAAGCTAACTAATTTTAATCGTGTGCTGGGCGATCAAGGCCCACTTGAGACTATGATTAGGGAGATTTACAGGCATACACCTCAATTCTTTTGTATTTACATGTCTAATTTCTAAACTTTTAGTTTTTGCACACATGTCACCTCACAAGGGAAAAATATTACATCAGTGCTACGTACGTAGAGTAACGTGCATAGTCAATAAAATCACGCCACGACACCCCGCGTGACAGAGAAAAAAAAACGGCGCAGTAACACGGAAAATATTCCCCCCCCCTTCCGTGTTATTCATGTGTTATTGTGTTCTGAGAATATTCATGGTGTTATAATAACACATGAATAACATGGGGGAGAATATTCCCCCGTGTTACTGCGCCGTTTTTTTTTTTGTCGGGAATATTCCCCGTGTTATTCAGGTGTTATTGTGTTATTCATGTGATATTGTGTCCTGAGAATATTCTTGGTGTTATAATAACACAATAACACATGAATAACACACAATAACACATGAATAACACGCAATAATTCATGAATAACACAGGAGGGAATATTCCCCGTGTTACTGCACCGTTTTTTTTTTCCTGTCGCGCAGGGTGTCGTGAGGTGATTTCATTGGTTACGCACGTTACTTCTATGTGCATAGTACTGATGTAATATTTTTTCCCTCACAAGATATGAAAAAGTATATTTCACTTTTAAAAAACTTAAAATAGTGATATAAAAAATTCATCAAATATAAATATAATAAGTAAAATTTATGTATTGGATTTGTAAATACATAATAGTTTCTTATCAGTCGTTATGTATGTAAATATACATTATTATTATTTGGATTATTATTTATATTATAAAAAATTCAAAATGCAATGTAAGATTATAATACATTTAGGATACCCTCAACATAATTTTTAATCTCTTTAAATTTTGTTGGATGACAAGTTCCTAATTCATCGCTTTTTGTAAAATTTTGATCGCCATCGTAGCCGTTAACCCACCCACCATTGCCCACCATCCCCTGTAGTTCACTATCATCGACCCAACACCACAACACAGCACTCATTGTTGCCACCCTCCGACCACTGCCGGTTATGTATTTTACATTGATTTTATTTTTTTTCAAATCAAACAAAAAAAATGTGAAATCATGCATTTATTTTACACCGAACCAAATGGCTTGAAAGTATTCTAAATACAATACATTATTTTGACAACAAACCAAACGGATGGATGTACAGACAATGGTGGATTAGGAAGTCACTTCATCACAATTTCAAATGTATGTGACAGAAACTCCTAAGCCAGAGTTGTCTGTACAGGCGATATATGTATGTAATAATTTTTCCCATCAAATATCCAGATAGTGTAGAACTTCAGAACATCTTGACGTATACTTTCACAATTTAAATTGATTATATAACAAGTTTAACTTATTTCTAACTCCTCGCATGTCATCATGAGTCTAATATTTCAAAAAATTATCTATAGTATTAGTGAGGTTTAGCTAATCAAAACAATTCAGATTTTGCTGGATACCTGCCAACAAAATAGTGACATACTTTTTGCATAAAAAATGATATAACCCAATCCTTACAACAACTGTACAGCTAAAAGGAACCAATCAGCATTAACAACAACAAACAATAACAACCACAACAAAGCCTTAATCCCACTACGTGGGGTCGGCTACATGAATCATTTTTCTCCATTAGTGTCATATTTTTATTTAGTTCTAATAAATTAAGATCATTTTTTATACAATAAGCCCAAGTCTTCCTAAGTCTACCTCTATCATTCTTAACATTAGTCAAATCTAAAATATCTACTCTCCTAATTGGATCAGGAGATGGTCGACGATTAATGTGACCAAATCATCTAAGACGACTCTCTCTAATTTTGTATGTCACAGGAGCTACACCAACCCTATCACGGATATATTCATTTCTCATTTTGTCTCTAAGTGTAAAGCCACTCATCCACCGAATCATTCTCATTTCGGCAACACTTAACTTACTATTATGCTTCTCTTTTAAAGGACAACATTCAATGCTATAGCGCATCGCAGGTTTAACCACTGTCTTATAAAATTTCCTTTCAGTCTAAGTGGTACTTTTCTATCACACAAAAGGCCCAAGGCATTCCTCCAACCAATCAGCATTAACAGATAAACAAAAATTAATACAGATAAATTTATATACATACCACATAATTATTACATATTTACATATCTAACTTCACAGCCTCATAAATCTATGCATTAAAAAGTGTATGTCACGTTTAAAACTATAATGATGATGATATTTTTGATGTTCCGTTAAAGATTTGAGTGATATGTTATGTACATGTGAATGACTAGTTAGACATGTAAATACATAAAAATTGCATGGAATGTATGAAAAATGCCACATGAATATAATATTACAAAGAAAAACATAAAGCAGACTATAGCTAGCCTCGCAAATCCACCTGAAAATTGTTCCAAGAAAATGCAGTATTTCCTTTCCATCCCTTCCAAGTTTGAGCAAACTTCTACATGCTTTAATAACCCAATAAAAAAAATTAAGAGAAAAGTAACAAAGATGCACTTATTAAAACAGAGTATCACATGCTCCGATAGCTAGCTTCCTCATCCATGCTCAACTATACTTACAGCAAGCAAACTCCCAAGATGTTCAGCTAAATATATCACAGAAAACTCTTACCTTACCTGCCCTCAGACTTTATCAACTGAGAGAAAACTCTGCTCATTGAGACATCAGAAAGATCATTCAAGCTATTGTTAACCATTCCACCCTCAGCCACACTTCCAGGATTATTCATATTCTGAACCTGTGAAGAAAGCTCCACAATCCTGTTGATGCTGTTCACCTCAGAATCAGGAGATTCTGCTTCCTGGAGCTGCAAAGCATACTCCAAGTTCCACAGCACATCGCCCATCGTCGGCCGCTCCACGCCAAAGTCTGCAAGGCATTTCTCGACTGTCTCTGCGAACTTCCGCAGCGAATCGGGCTTTATCGTTCCCGCAATACGAGCATCAATGATCTGACCCAGATCTCCTCTCTTCTGCCATTTCATGCCCCACTCAGCCAAGTTCACCATTTCTCTAGGAAGGGTGGGATCAATCACTGGTCTAGCACATAGAACCTCAAGCAGAACCACTCCAAAAGAATAAACATCGGACTTTTCGGTAAGTTGCTGCCTGCGGAAGTATTCGGGATCAAGATACCCAAAGCTTCCTTTAACGGCGGTGCTCACATGAGTCTGATCCAACTCAGGACCCGTCTTTGAAAGACCAAAATCGGCAACCTTCGCCATGAGATTCTCATCCAGAAGGATATTTGCAGACTTGACGTCGCGGTGAATGATTGCCTTTGCAGAACCAGTATGAAGATAGTGAAGCCCTCGTGCGGACCCAATGCAGATTTCGAGTCGCTGCTCCCAGTTGAGGTTAGGAAGATCCGAACCATAGAGATGACTCTTCAGAGTTCCCTTCTCCATGTACTCATATACAAGAATCATTTCGTTTCGCTCGTCGCAGTATCCGATAAGAGACACAAGATGACGATGACGAAGCCGCGAAAGCAATTCAATTTCGGTGTGAAATTCATTGAGACCTTGCTGGGATTTCGGATTGCCGCGCTTGACAGCTACCTTTGTTTCGTCTCTCAGCGTTCCCTTGTAGACCTTACCGAATCCCCCAACACCAATCACCCAATTCTCATCAAAGTTGTTGGTGGCCTCTTGCAGCACAACAAAGGAGAATCTGTAGCCCAGATTTCCATTCTTACCAGAAGTAGCCGTCGTTATATTCGAAGTTCTGCTAGCCAAACTTTGCGAAGTACCTCCATTGATTGAGAATGGGAGCCAAGTCTTGGATTGCTGCTTCTTTGCCTTCTTCCTTCTTCTGATACAGCAGAAAACAACAGCAGCTAGAATCAACAGAGCTAGTATCCCCAAAACAGCACCAACTATGGCACCAATTTTACCCTTTTTTTTAACAGGATCAATCACAGCTCCTGGACCGGAACTGCTCATCTTCATAACCTCAAGCCCATTCAGGATTCCATCTGGCACAACACCATCAGTATCAGAGGGACCGATACTGACAGCAAGGTTGCTCGAACCAGACGGAACTTCGACAATGAAATCCAAAAATACAGCCGTGTGCAACGCATTAGCCGACAAACTAGATAGATCAACATAATTACTCGCTGAAAGGCTGTTGAGATAAGCCTTAAAATATAGATTGTTGAGCGCCTTACTCACTATATCACAGAAGTGCATCCTCACCAAGTAGCTAAAGCCATTATCGACATTAAGCTTCCAGGTGACATTGAAACGGGCACTCAAGGTTGAACTCTGCGAAGCCAACTCGGTAGCTGTGCTGTAGACGCTCCGAGGAGCAATCTCAGGGCTGGTAACCCCATCGATATAGCTGATAGCACCAGTATAAGAAACGTTTTTAGCTAGATCGGGGTCGAGTAGAAAGCCACCGTCTGTACCCCAAGTTCTCCATAGATCGTCGTCGCCGGGTGAGAGATTTGGGCCTCCCATATTCAGCCGATAAACTGTCTCCAGTACCTGATTCGACAAACCTTGATAATTCTGCTGAGAATTAACATTCTTTGCGGAGTCCAGAATAAGATTGTTGGGGACGGAAATAACTTCCAGTGCGTTCACAAACGCAACAGAGTTGTTTCCGGGAATAAAGCTGAGGATCAGATTGTCGTGATTGATATTTGCTGAGAATTCCTTGAATGCGGTGGAAGAATCGGGCTGCGGCTTAAAATTGGAAAGAAGAGTGTTGTCTTGGGTTGAGACCGAGAATTGAGCGGTGGTGAGCTTGAATTGTTGGTTATCGAAGGGGAAGAAATAGAGACGGATAAAGTGTCTTCCTTGCTGCTTGATGGGAAAGGAATAGGAGGAGGATTCAGTGAAAACCCTAGCGTCAAGGTATAGAGATGAGCCAGTTAATGATGAGACTGATTTGGAATTGGTGAGGTTGGCGACGGCATCTTTAGGTGCGGTGAGGGTCCAAGAGCTGCCGTTATCAGCAACAAAAACCCTTCCATCGACGTCTGTATCGATCAAGGAACCACAATTTATCAAGTAATTATCAGTAGGATTGAATGCACAATCAGACTTTCTCAGATTTATGATCAGGACGAGCGATAAAAGCAGGCCGAATCCAAGCTTTGGACTGGCCATCGGAGAAAGGTTTTCAAAATATGGAATTTCAGTGAACGAAATCAAGCTGCCGATAGATCAAAGAACAAACAAGAATCTGAAGAGTGGAAAACCCTAATCCGCTTCTAAATCCCCAAATCAGGAAACAAACCCGTTCTCATTGGAAACCACATGTTACAACCCACCATGAATCCGCCACGAATGCTTAGAAACAGTGTTGATTCTCCGTAAGAGCAACGAAATCAGAAGCAAATCTAAACAGAACTGATCACCGATAAGGGGAATCAAAAAACGGAGTCATCAAACAGAAGGAAAG